AGACCCAAATGTTAATGGAAGAAATCTACTTCCTCAACTTAAACTGCAGAGGAAGATGGAGAGCCTCTCGGAAGGTTTTGTGGCTTAAGCCAAGGTCCCTCTTTGAAAGCACTCTGAAACACAATGGTGCCCTTGAAGAGTAAATTTCCTAGATAGCCAAACCACTTTCCAGCAAACATTTTATTCCACTAAAATCAATATGCAGACGTAGGATGGGAGGATTCCCATAGTCACAACTGAGGTTCTACTGTGTGTAAGACACCGTGCTGGGCACAAAGGAGCTTGTGCTGGGTGAGGACAAGGAACCCAAGAAAAGATAAGTGGCTGTCCTAGGCAGTAACACTGAGTGCTGACAGTGACAAACAAGCCATGATTCGTCTCACTCTGCCTCTGGATCTGTCTTCCTTCCTTCTCTCCCTCTTTCCTTCTTCTTTCATCTCTCTCATTCTTTCTTTCAAATTTTTAAGCTGTGCTAAAATACACGTAACATAAAATTTACCATCTTAACCATTTCAAGTGCACAGTTCAACAGCATTAAGTGCATTCACATTGTGGTGCAGCCATCTCCACCATCTGCCTCTGGAACCTTTTCATCATCCAAAACTGAACTCCACACCCGTTAAACACTAACTTCCATGCCCCCNAGGAAATGCCTTCTCAAAAGCAACTCAGATAACACAGAGTGTGAGGCTCAGGGAGTAATAACGGTGGTGGAAGGAGCTGTAGAGAGCACAGCATCACATCCAACTCCCTGTCTGCTCCTCGTGGAACCCTGAAAAAATTGTGCAAAAAAAATACTGTGAAATTCTTATTTGACCTCCAAAAATTGGCAGTTCTGGTGGCAATGTCATTATCGATTTACTCCTAACCTCTGCTGATGCCTGGCTTCAAGGCTTAGAGGAAATTAGTCTCCTTCCCATTCCCACCACACTGAACACCCTGAACACACAGACACACACGCACACAAATCCTGAAACAGAAATCAAGCAAAAGCCTCAAGCTTGACGCTTGACTCTCTTT